TCTTGCCCCACTTGCCACCCCCAAATTGTACCTCACTGTGAAATGCACATTTTAATAGAGCCACGACACGGGTTTCCTTTGCTGCCTGCACAGTCCGGGTGGCCAGCAGCCAAGCCGCCAAGCTGGCAATCGGCCGGGCTGCCTCTAATCTGCCTGCCCTCTGTCTGCGCCCAGCTTCTGTGCTTTCTCCCGACTGTGCTGCCCTCTTGCTTTTCTCCCTGCCTCCCCCAGCCGACAGTGCTGGCCAGGAGAAAACAGGCGGTGAGTCTGTAGAGGAGGAGGAGGGCACATGGCTCTGCGATGTGCACCAAGGAACTGGGAAGGAAAGCATTTTCAGGTGGCAGCTACATTCAGAGTATAAGACGCACCCAGATTTTCACCCTCCTTTTGGGGGTAAAAAGGTGCGTCTTATTTAACTTTAATTACAGATACATATAAAATGAATGTTGGGATTTGATCTGGCTCCATCCATTACTTCCTTTGAAGTTCTATCTCACCTAACCCAGAATCAACTCTTTACTCATGAATTTGAAGTTTAAGATCAGGTGAGAATTTAGTCTAAGGATGTAAGCAGAGAAAGATAGAAAAGTTTCTTGTTTCTTTGGTGAGTGATTTTGGCATTTCTCCAGCTAAAAGGACTCTAAATCAGCCCAAGATTATCTACATAAAAGTTATTAAAATCTACATCAACCAGTCTGTCCCGAGATATATCATACGTATAGACGATTAAGAGCAGATGATAGATATAAACACATACAAAAACATCAAATTATCCATCATGTTTTCCCTTTTCTTGAACATAGGTATATTTTTTTAAAATAAATTTCATTTGCCCTTGTCAGATGTTAGTTTGAGAATAAATAAAAAATATGTGGAAATTTAAAGTGCTAGTCAACATCCTGCCACTTCCATATTTTACCATGATTGATTTTAATTTTGGGTATTATGTCTAACTCAAAATATTTTTTAAATAAATACTCAGGCCAATTTATTTATTTCTACAATACTCCAAATTTACAACCCTGCCGCTCATATTTATGCATAGATGATAGTTTCAATTTTAAAATAATTATTATGTAAGAGAGAAAAAATCTTTTAAAAAAAGCTGTGAAATATCAGTGGAAATAACCATTGTATAAATACAAAAGGTAAAGCAACAGTTTCAAACCTATCTTACTAGTACTGTATTACTGATATTGGTATTGTTAGATTACAGCATCCAAAATAAATCAAGACCTCAGATATTTCTCAGCTATATAAGAACTTACCTTCTCCAACAATGCATTTTGCCATAATCTAAATATACTGAGGTAGCTTCTGTCTCTGGCACTGAAGGAAGTGAAGAAAAACTGTAGAACAAAATGATAATTCGCATGAAAAGTATTGAAAGTAAGTCAGAGCCAATTGATTTTTAGAAGTCTCTAAGAAAGACTAAATTATACAATCTTCAGCCATTTATCATCCTATACATATTTACTTAGATAAAAGTTTCATTAAGTTCAGTCAGGCTTATTATTATTTATTCAATCTGTTTGTTTGCCTTCCTGGCTACAGAGTATTTACTACCAAGCTAATGGGCATACTCCAAATTTATATTCACACTATCATAAAAGTGTCAATAAACTTAATGGGCTCATCAGATCTAAATGGATATATAAAAGATATATCGATTTTATATAGACAGACAGACAGACAGACAGGATAGAATGGATAGATGGATGGATGGATATAGATATAGTTAAATTCTAAGATGATTTACAAATTATTACTATTATTATTAACCAATTTATTTGTCGCTCATTGCACAGTAATGCTAAATAGTAGTATTTTAAAATTCAAAATTTTCCTTTCCAGGCACAACATAATAAAGCATTTTGGCTCTTACATGCACATGCCCATTCACATATTCTTCAGTAAAAGCCTAGCTATATTCCTGATTGACAGAGGAAGAGCCTCAACACAAAGTCACTGATACATTCCCATACATTACTTTCTCTT